TTATTATTAATATTATTATTATTATTAATTATTAATATTATTATTATTATTATTATTATTATTATTAATTAACATTAATTATTAGTTATTATTATTATAATTATTATTTACAAATACTTGTACCATTCATCTATTCATTTATAGCCATAAAAAGAAAACTCTTTTTCTCTTTCTTTCTTTCTTTCTTTTTTTTTTATTTTTACAGCAAAAAATGTCATTGACCTTGAAATTTCCTCCTTCCTTCCTCTTTTCACAAAAAATTTTTTCGAAATTTTTTTTTTTCTGAATAATTGCATATTTCTGTGAAATGCTATCATTCTCGTCATATAAATAATTATTTGCAATATCTTGGAGGGATCGAAACTTTGCATATTTCTTCATTTACTTTGTAATAGGTGTAATGCGTGTGTATGTCTGTCTGTTTGTATACGTGTCTGTCGATATGTTGATGTACATATATATATATATATATATGTGTGTGTGTATGTATATATATATATATATATATATGTGTGTGTGTGTGTGTGTGTGTGTGTATGTCTGCGTGTCTGTGAGACGAATTAATGTTTGTGGACAAAGAGAGGTGATATTAAAAGGTAAAGTAGAAGAAGACAAAATGGTCGATGTAAGGTTGTATGGTTGCTAATGGAAATTATTGGATCAATGGTAGTATTTGAATTTCAACAACGATACAATTTGAATTCTCGTTAAATTCCTCCATCTAAGCAATCATTAAATTTCATTTCCAATTTCTCATCGTCACCAATCATTAAATCCGCTCCATTATTCAATTCATTTGTCAACAGCATTTTTCTCAACTATTTCATACTTTCATATTTATAAAAAATAAGAAAAAAATTTAACTGAAAATAATTAATTTATATATAAATAATAGAAAAGTACAAAAAGCATTCCATAAAAAAGAGCAAAAAATAAAAAAAACATTGGAAGTTTTGCTTTTTCGATACTTTTTTGTTTTGTGTTTTTGATATTTTATTAAAATGATAATGTTAAAGAATTTTAGAAATTTAATTTAAAAATTAATTTTTTTTTACTTTGAATTTCCAAATATGTAAATTTGTTTTCTTTTAAATACTTCTTCAATTTCCGTCTTTTTCCTCTTCGATATCTTTCATCTTTTTTTTTTCGCATTCATCTATCATTAATCTTTTAAAACAAATTTTATACTGTAAAATATGTATAATTAAATAAAAATGCAACTAAATATTCGTTTCATTTAGAATTTTTATCTTCCGATAATTTTCATCAAAAAAAAAAAATATTTGAATTTTAATAAGCAATTCTTTCAAATTATATTTTCTATTTTCTTTTTTTTTTTCGAATTTATTTTAATCATTTTCTAATATAAAAACATTAATAATCAATTAAAAATAATGAAATGATAGTTTGGAAGAAAGGAAAAATTAACAAAAATTGATGGGAAAAAATATTTTATAAGAATATATGTTTACTATTTTTGATTGCTTTTTTTTTCATTTCAACAATATATTTGTTTTTCGTTCTCTTTTTCTTTGCTCTTTTAGCTTAATTTAATTAAAAACGAAATTTTGTCACTTTTTCCAGTTTGAAATAAAATTTAAAAAGTCGTAATTTAACTGGAAGTTTATTGAAAATTAAATTGATAGCATTAAAATTTTTCTAATTATAAATTAAAAAAAAGAAAAGTATTTATTTGATACTTCGTCCCTTGAATTTTACATTTTTCTTTTCTTTTTTCATTTTTGTTTTGTTTTTTGATTATTTACATCTCAAACATTCTTTTGCCATTGAAAATTATTCAATGTTCGATTCAAACAACAAAAAATAAATAAAAAATTTCGTGCTTTCTTCGATTTTATCAATTCAAATATTTCATTCCTATCTTCTTAACTCACCAAATTCTTCCGAAAAAAAAAGTCAAAAATTCATTTTCCTTTTGTTTTTTTTTTCTTCCAAACTGATTTTCATTTTTGAAATTCGAAAAATTTTGCAATGTAAAAAGTATAAACATAAACATCTACTATTCAATTCATGTATAAATATGCATGACACACAAGCACACACACACACACACACACACACACAGACATATTCATGTTCGTATGCACACAGACAGTTTGAAAATATCTGCGACGGTTGTGTTGACAATTGTTAATACAATTTTTTTTTTTAATACAAATTTAAATTCATCGAAAAAAGGGAGGATAAAATTTTGTCCTAATTTCTATGATAAATCGTTCAATGATATCTAAAATTTAAAATTCATCCCCTTTTTTAAAATATTTTATTTAAATTCATTTTTTTAAATATTTTAAATGATTCATTGAGAAATAGGGGAAGAATGAAAGAAAGATGAATGAATGAACAAATTGTATGATCGATTGAGTTTAGTTCAAGAATGATGAACAAAAAAATTGCAAAGTGATTGAAATAGTCAAGAAATAAGGTATTGTGGAAATAAAAAAAAAGCGGAAAAAGGACAAAAGATAGGAAAATGGGCGGAAAAAGACATTGGTAAATTGAAAGTTAAATTTTAAAGATTCTTTTTCAAGCGAAAAAGAATGATTTCATATTCTTTTATTGATTATTATATTACTGTTTGTTAACTTCTTAAGAATATTAAACAATTTAATGAAATTAAAAAATTTTTCCAATTATAATTAACAACCAAAAATTGTTTCATTTTTCATTTAAATTCTTTTTTTTCTTAAAGGATATTTTAAATATTATAATAATAACATTCTTTTATTTTCCTTTTTTTTCAATTACTTCAATTTAGATATTTAAACAATGAAATTTTTGATGCTTTATTTACAATTAAAAATATTGTTTACAGATGAATTTAGCTCAGTTTGTATCAAATAATTTGTTTCTGTTGCTAAACGTAACCTAAATTCTTTTTTCAAAGTAATACTTTAATATTATATAAACCAATTATTTTATAGATTAATTCGGCATATTATTACGGTAGCAATAAGTAATTTGCATTAAATGATAATTACCACTTTGACTGATGACAATTGTCATTAGCTTCCCTGGTTAAATATATCTGCTGATACTGTAAATGGATATATGTCGTGTGTAAGACAAAAAAAAAAAGGACGGAAAAAACTTTATTGCTATAAAATAATTTACAATTTTTATTTCTGACATATGAAACTTTTATTGCTGGTTGAAATTTGCATTAAATGCAAATTTATTTTTCAGTTTTCCATTTTATACCAATAAAATGGAAGTATTTATTCATATATGTATGTATATGAATATGTCTTTTATCCTGTTTATTCATTCATTCCATTCATTTATTGTCTCTTTTCCAATCGAAAAAAAGGTAAATTCAGGTAAATTCATCACTAGGTAAATCCATCACTTCCTTCTTTTTCCTCTTGCTCCTTCTCTGTTTTTCAAAAGTTACAAAATTTGTTTACTATTTTTGTTTGCTTGTTTATTTATTTGTTTGTTTGTTTGTTTGTTTATTTGTTTATGCATTCCAGTCAAATATCAAAATGTTGATTGTCAATTTGTTAATTCAAATGTTAATTTATAAAATTAATTGTGAAATAATTTAATTTCATTATAAATTAATTTTGTCATGCATAATTTAATTTTGTCATTTATTTTTTGATTTGATTGAAAATAATTATAGACGATCGATTAAGTATTGTCGTGGTAAAGTTATTAGTGCGGTTGGATCAAATAATTTGTTCACGGAGGCAAGTTTGTTGCTGTGCATTCAACGAGTTGCTTATCGTAAACAACAGCAACAGCAACAACAGCAGCAACAACAACAACAACAA